AATTAAAGTCTCTAATGTTCTTCACCATAACCGTAAGATTTTCATTATTATATTCAGGGCTTCAGTTTATTGTTGCATTAATGCAAAGTCAACATAGCCCATCGCTGGGTTTTTGTGTGAGTGTGTTTGAAACACTGGTGATGGCACAGTGGATAAGACAAATGCCTTTGGTGAAGGAGACCTGGGTTCGCTTCCCACTGTTGCACCCACCAATGTGCTCAAGACACTTAACCCCTAGTAGCTCCAGAAGTGTGCGATCTCTGATACATATATCAATTGTAAGTCGCTTTGGATAAGTTGCTTTTAGTTATCGCTTTGGATAACTAATTAATTAATAACACACACAACAAACATTTCTAAAACATCATCCGTTTGTCTGAGTATTAAAACTTCAATGATCATAAACACAATGTAACACACAATGTTCAGGCGTTGAGCACTGAATTTCTAAAAGCTGCTAGCTAAAACAAAAGTTGAGCACTCAACTTCCCATAATGCTTCACTCTATAGTGCCTGTACTTAAACTTAGCATTAAAAAACAACAACCTTGTTACCTGTAAAATGTTGTACTGTACGTGTGTGTGTGTGTGTGTGTGTGTGTGTGTGTGTAAAACAGAGAGAGATGATATTTTTTTTGCTTCTAACATACTGGCAACTTATTTGAGCAACAATTTTCAGTGAACTTTATTCACACAGCGGTTTGATTTTCATTTCATTTGTAATGTGAAACAACACAAAAGACAGAAAGCTAAAATATTAAAACTTGTTTCAAGCATAACTGTAGCATATAATGTAGATCTGATTAGTGTTTATTCATGATGTTAGCATCGTCATTAACCGTGAGATATGTTAGATTTAGTTTTTAATTTACAAACCAATTGTGTCTGATTGTATTTTTTAAATAAATGGTTTTAGCTTCCTAGCTAGTACTTAAGTTAGCTAGCAGACTTGTTAACAAAAACTATTTTCTGCCAGATCAGCCCCATGCTATAGAAGCACAAATGTAGTATATTGCCTTTATAGATAATTCATTAACGTGTTTTAATAACATTAGCAAATGTTAGCAGTAAGCTACATTAGCATCCGCTGTGTATTTATGAACCATATCCAATTGTGTAGTTTTAACAGTAACAGTTTTAACTAGCTAATCACTGAAGTAAACTAGCGGGCTCAGCTAACCTTTCAAATCAGTGTAGTGAGGCATAAATAAAGTGCATCAGCTAACAGCTAGAGTTGGCTAAAGTTGAGAAAGAGTCAGTTGCGACTCAAACTCTGCAGACTGAAAGTGTTATAATCACTTTTGGCTTCTCTCAACTTCATTTGTAAACACGAAGAGCGCAGATTCTTTTCTGTTCTTCTTCTTTGTAAATTACTGATATACAGGTGCATCTCCAAAAATTTGAATATCGTCCAACCTTGATGATTACAGCTTATAGTTTGTGGAAATCAAAACTCCATTTTCTCAAAATGTATTGTATGTATGAATTGTATTTTATAATAAAGAATTCATAATACAGAAATGGCGACTTGAAAAGAACATAAATGAGCTAATTAACTCAAAAAACTTGCAAAAGGTTCCTGAGCCTTTAATCCTTCAGTCTGGTTCTGGTGCTCACAATAAACTTTTTCAGAATATTCAAATTTTTGGAGACGCACCTTTATATAATCAACAGTTATAATCGTCTTTGCACACAAATTACTTTCTTTTTAAATAACTTAGTAATACTTTTTCATGACACCTGCCAAAGGAGCTCTTGACTTTAGTTTGAATTGGAAAAATCTGTACATTTTAATATGTAATTTAATTCAAGTGGGGGGAGCCAGAATCTCTTATTTGGGATATTAAATACTTATGTCACGATTAAAATGACAACAAAAGAGTTGACAAACAAATTGCCCGGTGTCCCCTCCATGTTAACGTCTGATGTCCAGAACATTCCAAGTGGTGGTTGTTGTTGTTGTTGTTTAGTGTGTTTGGTTTTTTAAGAGTATTTTTCTACAGCTTTTTGTATGTCATGCTTATTACACAGGGCTGTGTGTGTGTGTTGTGGGAGAACATACAGTCATGGTACACATGTGTATATACACACATATGTTAGTATGTGATTTGGCTTGTGTGCGTGTTTCTGATGTCACTTCCTGATTTAGCTGTTACAACTTTGTTATCATGATGATGATGATGATGATGATGGTGAGTGTTTAATTATGTGGATTTAAATGCTTTATGAACAGACTGTTGCCTCTAATGATTTGTGTATAAGCCGTATTGACTATTTGGTTTGTATCACCTTGTATCCCACCAATAAAACTATACACACACACTCTATCACGTGTGTTTGTGTGTGACTCACAGCCTGTATGCGGACCTGTCACTGTGCATTCAGTCTGTTTCCACTTCCTCTAGTCTTGAAATAATGATGAATGATGGAGATATTCAGCCCATTTTTAAACAGTGTACCTAATGTTTTTATTAGACTGGTTTCAGACTGGGGAATCATACGGTCATAATGTCATCTGTTATATTACTGACTGCCTGCTTTAATCCAAAGATTGTTGGAACATGTAAAAGAGAGAAAGAAGATGTTTAAAGATACACTAATAAAACAAAAGTAGCTTTGAGAAGTAAGAAAAATCTCATTAACGTTCGTAATAACACAGAATAACAAAGAATCCAGCCTCACAACACAGTTTGCTCAACAGCAGGCCATATCAAGCGGTTCAAGTCAAGTTAAAAAAAGTTGTATCGTTTATTTATTACAAGTTTTAATGGCCTCAACTCCCATAAACCCACAGTCTGTCGAGCAAATACGAGGTATGAATGGACAGAACAACAGAGGTTACACCTGAAAAGCTGACTTTACTTCACTTTCTCGCTCTTAACTCATCACACATGGACACTTGGTCTAGAGCACCTCTTTTGCGTTGTTTATTGACATGTAGGGCTCTCATGTAGGGCGCTCCAGAACTGAGTATGTGGGACAGAGTAAAAAAGTGTTCAGGGTGACAGTGACTACATGAGTAGTGTCACTGAGTTCTGTCACTGAGAGGAAGAAGAGACATTGGGCTGTGATACACACACACAGTACCTGTTAGTAGATGCATTCACTGTTGGTTTGGCTTTGAACATGAGATTTGATGTCACCAGACTTAATTTCAAGGTTCTACAAAAAGGCTCCTTTAATTTTAAGCTGTCAATTATCTCAGCAGCTCTATGAGGTGTGTTAACCAGCTGTTCCAGTGTGCGTGGAACAGTGCGGCGAGTGCTACACATGTACGCACACACTGACACACACCTGCTATTATCTAAATGATAATAAGATGTGTTAGTGTCTGCAAGCGACCGTGAACGCAACTCTGCACTCTGCACTCTGTGCGTGTGTGTTACAGCCTGGTATTAATGCAGCCGACAGCGTGATAGTGGCCTGTGTAATGCCAGGCTTTACTGTGTGTGTGTGTGTGTGTGTGTGTGATGTCGCCTGAGACGGCTGTCATTTTGCAGAGTGACAAACACAACAGAGTCAAAACCAGCTGTTATTAACACACAGCAGACTCTCTCTCTCTTTGTGTCTCTTGTTGCTGGTTGATGACTAAGTTGTCAGTCGTCTTTTCCTCTTTGTTCCAGTCACACCGCTCTTTATCAACCAAAGGTAAGAGTGTGTCCACAAATACTTTATTAATCTTTAAAAACTGGTGTCTATCTGATTTTGTGACATTGTAAGTATGTGAAGCATTCAGCTGATTGTAAGAAAGGTTATGCTTTTGCTTTTTTTTGTGTGTATAACAGATTAATAATCAATTCAGTCGGGCTTTAGTGTCATGGGAAACATTTTTACATTGGCAAGTGTGAAGTAATACCATGTACACAAACAGAAGAAGTGATCAGTGTTTGATTTGTAATTAATGTACCACTTTATTTTACCGCTCAGTAATTTGTTAATCATTTCCTGTGAAGTTTCCTGGAAAGACGTGCAATTTTCCACTACTTATAGGAAAAATACAAATACCCTCAAAAGACCAGCTCTACTAAAATCCAAAAATATATTCCTTTAATTTTTATGTATTATTGGAAACTTTATTCTCAATATTGGTTGCTTTTTTTCGCACAGATTTCACCCAATGTTTTATTACGGGTCTGGAATAATAATTACTAGGGACTTTTCTGCAAAAAAACTTGATTAGTTTCCAGGGAAAATGGATGTAGTGTTCAGTTGGTCCATGTCTGATCAAGTAACTCCAGTGAATTGCAAGTGTAATAGTCTTTTAATCAATGCATAGCAGCTCAGCTAAACATGTAAATCTAAAATTTGAGAAAAGCTTTATTTTGTGGGTGATTTTCTCATAATTTCTAAGATGTGTTGTGGACACCATGTCTGGCTTTATAGTAAAGAACACACAATCAGGCAGATTCAGCAGGTAAGTTTCAACTGCTTTATGTTTAACAGACAGAAAGAGTAAATGGGGGAGGGGGCTATGGGTCGAAGTCCGGGTCTTGAGCTGGCTGGCGGGGGTTACTGGCTGAGACAGGCTGGGATCCCAGGTTAGAGAGGCAGGCTGGTAGCAGTTCAGGTCTGGAGGAGTAGTCAGATATGACTTAATGATCCAGAGGACTGGATCTCAGGCCTCTCCTAATGTAGTAGGCTTGAACAATGATCAGCAACAGGTGTATAATGGGAGCGGGTGGAGATTGGTGCCCAACCCAGAGATCAGTCAAGCCCCAGGACACTGTAGGAAAGAGAGAGAGAGAGAGAGAAGGAAGGCAAGGAAAAAGAGGGAGGTCAAAGTATACAACTATTTTTTTTAGCGTAATGATCTTAAATTAATTAATGGAAATTATTATATTACTGACCCATAAAATAAAGCATAACCTTGTAAATTATGGTATATACAAAATGACATAAAACTATGACTATGAGTTTCTTAGTGCTACATTTTTCACACCAATTTTCATTTCTTGATTAATTACGCTACAGTCACTAATCCCAGTAATTTGTCTGTTTCAGATGATGGACGAAGAAGCCACGAAGCGGTACTGTCGGATGAGTGATGATGGACAGAAGCAGGATCAAGCTGAGGTACCAGCTCTTCATATCACTTGTTCGTGTCCCATAAAAAAAAAACAGCCTTTTTTGATAAAACTCTAAATAAAACATCCTGCGATCTAGATGTAAACCAAAATATAAACCTGCCCACCATTTGAACTCCAACCACTGGACTGTAAAGTGTAGCATAGTGACACATGGTTTAGTGCAGAGAGTAGGACCAGTAAGATTACAGAATTTGTTAATCTTTTCGTTATGTTTTTATGTTTTTTTTTGTGTATGTGGCATCAACTACACATATATAAATGCAGTCCCCTCTAACCAAGGCCTCAGTGCTAAAACCTGTCATTTAATTAACACCTCTATGACAAAAACTGAACATGACAGTATTGCTGTCATAAAAGTAGCCTTTATGGCAGAGCAGTTGCATTAGATTGAATACCAGTACCTTATCTCACACACACACACTTGACCTTGGTGAAAGCAGATACTAGTAATAGTTAGATGAATGTTAAACACTGACTGAATCTTTACAGTTTGATCTGAACAAAGACATGTAAAAGAGCTGCTGGATTAAAACAACCAAACTATCAGCTGACATAAAAATCGACAAACTGCTTTTTTGTTCCTACAGGAGTGGAGTAAAAGATGGAAAGTTTGTCCTGAGGGTGGTGATAGAGGCAAGGTCACAGGGTTATTAAAATCAAGTAGTATACTGCTGGACTGCTGAGAAGATTTTCCATTACATGTGTGTGTAAGCGTGATTGTCTGGTTTAATGATTAATGTGATGAAACAATAAACTATAAAAGAATGAAAAATTAATGGATGGAAACAGAGGAAGAACATATGGAGAAGTGTGATACAAGCAGGGGGAGAATGTGCAAACAAAGGTGTGTGTGTGAAGCATAGGTTAAAGTTGACATGCATGTTTAATTTTCACTTCAGACAAGTTGTACGGCACCTTATTCACTGTCTATGTCTCTCTCTCTCTCTCTCTACACACACACCTGTGGTGAAGCGAGGGAAAGGTCAGGACGAGAGAGAGATCACCGTCCTGCCGCGGAGGAAGACAGATGAACTGGACGACAATGTGAGTGGTCAACAACACACACAAACACAACTGTTCCAAAAATTGTTCTCAGTCTTGCTGTTCCTACATTTGTTCTCAGTGTTGATCCTAAAATTGTTCTCTGTCTTGTTGTTAAAAAAATGGTTCTAGTGTTTCTGTTGCTAAATTTGTCAGTGTTCATGTTCCTAAATCTGATCTCTGTCTTGCTGTTCCTACATTTGTTCTCGTAGTGGCTGTTCCTGAAGTTGTCCTCAGTGTTTCTGTTACTAAAGTTCTTCTTGTAGTGGCTGTTCCTAAAGTTGTCCTCAGTGCTGCTGTTCCTAAAGTTCTTCTTGTAGTGGCTGTTCCTAAAGTTGTCCTCAGTGTTTCTGTAACTAAAGTTCTTCTTGTAGTGGCTGTTCCTAAAGTTGTCCTCAGTGCTGCTGTTCCTAAAGTTGTCCTCAGTGCTGCTGTTCCTAAAGTTGTCCTCAGTGTTTCTGTTGCTAAAGTTCTTCTTGTAGTGGCTGTTCCTAAAGTTGTCCTCAGTGCTGCTGTTCCTAAAGTTCTTCTTGTAGTCGCTGTTCCTAAAGTTGTCCTTAGTGTCGCTGTTCCTAAAGTTGTCCTCATGTTTCTGTTACTAATGTTCTTCTTGTAGTGGCTGTTCCTAAAGTTGCTTTAGGACAGTTGAGAAAAATGTCCTGTGTGTATATGTGTGTATATGTGTGTGTACATGTCTCTGTGTGTACATGTCTCTGTGTGTACATGTCTCTGTGTGTATATGTGTGTGTACATGTCTCTGTGTGTATATGTGTGTGTACATGTCTCTGTGTGTATATGTGTGTGTACATGTCTCTGTGTGTACATGTCTCTGTGTGTATATGTGTGTACATGTCTCTGTGTGTACATGTCTCTGTGTGTATATGTGTGTGTATATGTGTGTATATGTGTGTACATGTCTCTGTGTGTACAGTCTCGTGTGTACATGTCTCTGTGTGTATATGTGTGTACATGTCTCTGTGTATATGTGTGTATATGTGTGTGTACATGTCTCTGTGTGTACATGTCTCTGTGTGTACATGTCTCTGTGTGTATATGTGTGTGTACATGTCTCTGTGTGTATATGTGTGTGTACATGTCTCTGTGTGTACATGTCTCTGTGTGTATATGTGTGTGTACATGTCTCTGTGTGTACATGTCTCTGTGTGTACATGTCTCTGTGTGTATATGTGTGTATATGTGTGTGTACATGTCTCTGTGTGTACATGTCTCTGTGTGTACATGTCTCTGTGTGTATATGTGTGTGTACATGTCTCTGTGTGTATATGTGTGTGTACATGTCTCTGTGTGTATATGTGTGTGTACATGTCTCTGTGTGTATATGTGTGTGTACATGTCTCTGTGTGTACATGTCTCTGTGTGTACATGTCTCTGTGTGTATATGTGTGTGTACATGTCTCTGTGTGTATATGTGTGTGTACATGTCTCTGTGGTATATGTGTGTGTCCATGTCTCTGGTGTATAGTGTGTGTACATGTCTCTGTGTGTATATGTGTGTGTCCATGTCTCTGTGTGTATATGTGTGTGTACATGTCTCTGTGTGTATATGTGTGTCCATGTCTCTGTGTGTATATGTGTGTACATTCTCTGTGTGTATAGTGTGTGTCCATGTCTCTGTGTGTATATGTGTGTACATGTCTCTGTGTGTATATGTGTGTGTACATGTCTCTGTGTGTATATGTGTGTGTACATGTCTCGTGTGTATATGTGTGTGTACATGTCTCTGTGTATGTGTTACATGTCTCTGTGTGTATATGTGTTGTACATGTCTCTGTGTGTATGTGTGTGTCCATGCTCTGTGTGTATATGTGTGTGTACATGTCATGTGTGTGCCTCTCTCTGTATATACATACAGTACCTGTGTAATGTGTTTGTTTAGACGAAGATGACAGCATCGGGCTCGACCTCTTGTTGTTCGTCTTGTATCAGTCTGAAGGACCGATGTCCTCGACCACAGGGACTCATCAACCTGCTTATCACTAAAGGTAACAAACAGTGGTTTTTTGGTGTGTTTGTATTTAAAAGAGTCCTCACATGTGTTTTCTCATTAATGGTATCCGTGGGCTCCAGTGAAAAACGTCTACATCATGAGAGAACGTGCGCTATAGGAGAGTTCATGGTGTTAAAATCTAAAGTGCTCCTCTTTTGGAAATCACAACCTTTAAACCAATCTGAAGATATGTCTGTCTCTCTGTTTTATTTACTCTTATTGTTTTGCTAATGTCATATGTTCCTGTCAGTATGCTGAGAGAAATGTGAAAGTATTTTGCACAAATCAAAAAGCGTAATACTGTGGTACTTGCTATTATAAGTTACAAATTTCATGCATAAATCAGTAAAATCACAATGAAAACAAGCTGTGGATCTTTCATAAGGGTCGTAATACAGCCGCCTCTGAAATCAATCTAAATCTATCCCTGAATTATGAATATGACAGCATTTGGATTACTATTTTCTAATACTAGGATTATTATTTCCCATTGTTGATGATATTGTTAATGAGTAACAAACGCACCCCTCCCAAAAACAACAAAAAAAAAAACACTGGAACACTGAAGCTATATAGACGGTGTATGGAAATGGATTCAGCTGCTATTAATTTGTGTGTGTGTTTGTGCGTGCAGTGTGTCTGTTTGCTCTGCTGTTCGGAGTTGTCTGGGCCCATCACAGGAAGTGAGTGTTTACCTGGAGGAAACCTGTTTGGCATCGTCATCCTCTTCATCTGCTCCGTGCTGGGAGGGAAGCTGGTGGGAATGATTCAGCTGCCCACACTGCCCCCCTTCCCCCCACTACTTGGTACGACCCAACATCTAAAAACAATCTAATCTCATCTAATCTAATGTAATCTACCATGAAGTCTGTCTAGAAATTTTTCTTTCTCTTATTGGGGGATTCTGTGGCATGAAAAATCCTGATCCAGGTTTCTGATGATTCTGAGTCGAGTTCACTGGTGTGTCATCAAGTCAAGTTATGTAGTAGTTGGTCATCAAAATAAATAAATAATGTAAAATATATAATGATGATGATGAGATATAACTAGAGGGAGGGTCTGACTTCAGTGCTGCAGGGTTGTATTTTGTGACTCTTGACACCACAGACCAAAACATGTTCACTCTCAATCAGCTGTGCAAAAAGAAGTGGAGTTCAGACACACCTGCAGGCAGATGATCAGAAACCTGGATACCTTCTGAATCATGTAAACAGGGAGATGAATAACCAGGTTTTCTCATGTTCCCTGTATGCGTAATATGATCAAAGCCAGGATACTAATGTGCATTTAAACGCACTCATTGTAAAGGCCCTGTACTGTTTGACTGATCAGTTCCCGTGTGTGTCTGCAGGTATGCTGCTGGCAGGGCTGGTGCTGCGTAACGTTCCCTACATAGCGGACGCTGTCTTCATCGACACTCACTGGTCTGCAGCTCTGAGGAACGTCGCCCTGTCCATCATCCTTACCAGAGCCGGACTGGGCCTCGACCCCTCGGTGAGCGCACACACTGTACATACTTACTGACTCTTTCAGGTACAGTTGTTTAAATATTGTGTGTGTGTGCACCACGCAGGCGCTGAGTCGCCTTAAGCGGTGTGCGTGCGTGTTGCGGTCGGTCCCTGCATGGTGGAGGCCTCCGTCGTTGCTGTGGTTTCTCACTTCCTGTTGGGTCTGCCATGGGTCTGGGGCTTCATACTGGGGTAACACACACACACACACACACACACCACACACACAAATCATTATATCATTATAAATATAAGGAAACTACAGCTGTCTGTATCTGTAAGACTAAATGCCACTGTGTTGTGTGTGTGTGTGTGTCTGTGTGTGTGTGTGTGTGTAGTTTTGTCCTGGCCGCAGTGTCTCCTGCAGTTGTGGTTCCTTCGATGTGCTCCTGCAGAGAGAAGGATACGGCGTAGAGAAGGTAAACAAACCCTCACCTGCTGCTCTAACAACAGTCTGAGCACAGTGATTCTGTAGTTTGCCACCAGGGGGCAGGTGGGCAGCCAAAGACATGAACCAGTCTGTGTAAATGTTACACATTATCTCTGTGGGCCTATCCTAGAAACCTAGAACCACCTACAAAACTCACAGAACCATCTCACTGACCCAAGAACCACCTATATGACCTCTAAAACCTCATATACTTCTGATTGAACATCTAACTATACATCACCACTAGAACTCCGTATAAGACCCCGAGAACATATTTGATGACAACAATCTAACAATGAACATCTAGAACCTCTTTAGTGGAACCTTATAAAGAACCTACAACCCTTTAAATGACAAGTAGACTTCTAAAACCTCCTTGGTGACAACTGGACCCTCCTAATTCACTCCTAGACCCCCCGAAAGACCCCTAAAACCTTCTTAATGACCACTGGAACTAGACCTCCTAGAAGACCACCCAACCCTCCTCTGTGATTACAAAATCCTGCTAAAGGAGCTGTAGGAGCCATTTATATTTATTGTTGACATGATATTTAATTTTGTTTGATGTATTTATTAGTATTTTAGACACTGGGTGGCATGATTAGATGCACATGGTTGTATATTGGGGCATAGGTGACAGGAAGTGGTAGGAACGAGGAGGTGGAGCGGGTTGGCTGTTAATCGGAAGGTCGGCCGTTCAATCCCGGCTCCCCAGGCTGTATGTCAAAGTGGCCTTGGGCAAGATACTGAACCCCAAATTGCCCCTGGCGGTGTATGATTGTTTGTGCACTTAGGCTCAGTGTATGAATGTGAATGGTAATGCAGATGTAGTGTAAAATCGCTTTGAGAGGTCGAAAAGACTAGAAAGGCGATACAAGTACATAGCATTTACATTTACACAGTTTCTCACCAGACCATAGACCACCGATTAGAGACCACAGATCAGCTTACATGCAAAACACTCCCATGGAGGGCAAAACACTCGTTATTTACGCTGCCTGCCAACCAATAAGCAAGTGTACACTGTTACTTTGAGTTGCTGGAAATGCTGGATGGTTGTTGTGTATTTCGGGATGCACTAATCGAGGAGGAACAAGCCTGGGCTGTGTTAGGTGAGGGATTCCCCACGTAAACTACCGCAGTCGAGTGGCGGCAGGACCTGGCAGTTTTTTAACTGTAAAATGTGCAGGGATCTGTAATGAGATAGTTATGGATCGGGTATGCCCAACACTTGCAGCTTGTGTTCAATCTTTCTTTTTCTTAAGTTGAAAGGTGATACAAATAAATTGACTGTTTTTGCGGCGTCTCCACGGGGAGTCGCGGTGTGAGCCGCTATGTTTTCTGCTGTTTTGCCCGCCAAGTCACCGGGCATGTCACGTGACTGAAAACTATGATAGGGGACCTCTAATAATGTTCTGTGTGTTGTGTCCAGGGAATCCCCCCCTGCTGATGGCTGCAGTTTTGATGATATTCTGCCTAACAGATTTTCTACCTGTCTGGGAATCGCCTTCTCTACAGGTGAGAGCTGAGGAGAAACGCTCTACTGTAATTTATTCTGTTCTATTTCCTCCTTTTCATTCCTATCTATCCTGTTCTATGTGCTGTTTGTCCTGCAGGTTCTACTTGGATGAACATCCTAAAGGGTCTGCTGAGGTGGTGGGAGGGGTCATAGCCGGCTTATCCTGGGCTGTTCTTGTCCTGTTTCCCCAGCAAAGACCAGGTGAGAGTGAGGTTTGGTTTTGTGTTATGCATTTTAAATTTAAACTTTAAATGTAATTTGAATTAAATCATTTAATGTACTCTCTGTCTGCCTGCCCGTCCCTCTGTCTGTCTCTGTCGGCCTCTCTGCAGGAGG